GGACGTTTCAGCTACTTTGCCACTGTCAGACTTCTCCTGGCCTTTGAGAGTGGTGGAGATCCAGGAAGCAGGGCCAGAGGGAGCCCTTTAGGCCACTCATGCATCCCCCTCCTGGGACCACCTCTTAAGGGAGACAGGCTTACTAGCTGTTTGTTTGAAAACTGACATGCCCAGTGGCTGCTGCCCCTGGCCCCTACCTGTCCCCACAACCCTGTCCTTTTCATGTCCCCAGCCCCTGAGATGGATCAGCTCACCCAGTGCACCCCATAAGCAGGGAGGCCAGGACTGGGTGGTGCATTGGGCCAGCCTGGGCTGCTCTCGTGAGGTGGACACAGCAAAGAACCTCTCCCCTCTTATGTTGGGCCAAGCTGGGCAACCCCCTGCCTCCAGGCAGCTAGGGCGCGTGCCGGCTTTGGCACATAGCCTGGATGGCCCAGACGTCCTCCCAACAACCCCGCCTGCCCTCAGCCTAGAGAATGGCCCCTTTGTTGGTTCTGGGCTGGATGGACAGCTGACCTGGCCAGGCCGTCAGCTGCCTGCCCACCCACCCGCCTGCAGCAGTTGGCCAGGGCCGCAGAGGTGATGGGAGCCCAGCAGTCCAGCCCTCGGACTCTGGTTTTCCCAGTGAAGGCAGCCTCCCCGTGCCTGTCCAGGGCTCCCTCTGCAGGACTCTTCTGCGTTGACCTGGGCTACATGGGGAAAGTTCTCTCTGGCTGACCTTGTGTACTGACTGTCCCTTAGGGAGGTCCGAACTGGCCTAGCCTCTCCCCTTGATCAACTTGAATTCCAACCCTCCTCCCCCATGCATAGATAGGACAGGGACCTTAAAGCTTAGGAGGTGTAGGCACAGGGTGGGGTGGCTTGTGTCCCTGAGCTGGGGTGAATAAGTACCAGGGTCATATGAGGTTGGAGGCTATGTCCAGAGAGGCTAGGTGGCTCCATTGCCATCTCTAGGCAGCTTGGGCTGCTGAGGTCAGTTGTAGAAGGTTCTGGCATCTTTGGGAAGAAGTTTTCAGAATATGGGAGCAACAGCTGGAGGTAGTAAGGAATACCCGGAATGCCCTGGCCCATGCCTTTCTGTGTGCTCTACCAGCTGCCTAACTGCTGTGTAAGCGACTGCCATAGGCCCAGCTGTCTCCAGGTGGGTGGCCCTGCAGTGGACAGCTGTGGGATGAAGCCTTGGCACGTGGGCTCTGCTGCCCTGTTAATGCTGTCCTGCCTGTGCCCTGGCCCTGTGCCTGCCATGCCTCTGGGCCTCTGCTCTTACCCTCCTGGAATGCCATCCTAGCAGGGTACTGGCTCTCCAACACTTCAGGGAAGACTGTGCCCCACTTGCAGTTTGGGGCCTAGGGTTTGATTCCTCCGGCAGGTTCTCTGTGAGCCTCAGTTTTTGTGGTCTGATGAAACTGGCTATACTGTGGTGATTGAAAGCTGTGGCAAGCATATCCTGGTGGCCACCATTCCAGTCAGGTGTTCCACTAATGTGTGCATAGGGACCGCATCACATACATGTATACATGGAGCCCCATTATATACATGTATGGTCAGGTATTTCACATACAGGTGAACAAAAGGACCTCATCACACACACATACATACAGAGTCCCCTCCCATCATATACATGTATACACAGGGCCCCCATCATATACAGGTATACTCAGGGACTTCATTACCCATAGGTTCACATGGGTACCTCATCATACATATGTATATATGGGGACTATCACATATGTACAGAGTCCTATCCCATTTGTGTACATGGGGACTCCACATATGTGTGCATGGGAACCCTATCACACATGTGCATATGGACCACATCCCATATATTCACACAGGGACTCCAGCACACACATATGCACACAGATACCATATCACATAGTTATGCACGTGAACACCTATGGATAAAAGAGACCTCTATCCCATGTGTGTACACAGGGGCTGCACCATACTGGCATGCACACAGGAGCACTCACATGTACATAAAGAAACCCCAAGCCCATGTGTATACAAAGGGACCTTACCACCCACATGTGCATACAGGGACCCTGTCAGGCATATTCTTAGGGACTCCATGCACACAGGGGGCTAGTATTAGTTTCTTTTCTTTTGTTGTGATAAAATACCCTGACAAACAACTTAAGGGAGAAAGGGTTTATTTTGGCTAACAGTTCCAGAAGATGAGTCCATCATGGTAGAAAAGTGTGGCAGCAGGAAGCTGGCTGGTCACATTGCATTCACACTCAGGAGTCAGAGTGAACAGCTTAGTGGGGCCAGGCTATCAAATAACCTCAAGGCCTGCCCCAGTGACATACTTCTTCAAGCAAGGTTCCACCTTCTTCCAAGAGTGCCAGCAGTTGGGGACCAAGTATTCAGATGCATGAGTCCCATCATCAAGTATGTGCACATGGGGGGATCTGTCATCAAATGTGTACAGGGGGCTGATCACATGTGCACACACAGGTCCATTATCACACATGTACACCTGGGTCCATCATCACATGGGGACCTATCATGACACATGTTTGCATACAGGAGCCCCATCACTGGTGTGAACATAGGGGTCCTGTCAGGCCTGAGCATAGCTCCGCACTGAGCATGGTGGTGTTGCTACAGTCACATCCACAACCTCCCTGGTGTACCTATTTCCTCTGCTTCAGGAATTGTTTTGTGCTCTTCCAGTGGCCTTTCCCCAGAGTTGGACTTGCTGAGGCCATGTCCCTGAGACCTGTCTATGCATGTGACCCATTGCTGGGTAGTGGAAGGACAGCTGGATTCTTGTGCCCCCAGCTGCAGCTGTTGAGACCACCTGTCCCAGTCTTATCTAAGCCAACAGGCTGGAGGCAGGGCCTCCTAATGCTGGGTGGCCTGACCTCTGCACAGGCCTGTCCTCTTTCTGTGTACTTGGAGCCAGTGTGTCCACCTGGGGAGGGGAGCATGATGGTAGGCTGGATAAGACTAGGGTCAAGTCCACACCTCCCCACTGGTGATCAGGATGACAGGAGACTGGTACTAGACTACCTGGGTCCTTTTTCAGAGCACCCAGGGTACTGGGAAGGACACAGTCAAGCCACCAGGAGTCCTGGCTTGGGTGCAGAACTATAGACTTGGAGTGGGGAGGGTGGAGTCTTCCTGGAAGGTAGAGGTGAATGAAGCCCAGGGTGTGGGGAGCAGAGTCCTGGCCCACAAGAGTACTGGCTATGGTCTTCGGTGCCAGAGGCTGTAAGTCTGTGCTTTAGGTCCCCTGCCCTCATGATACACTGCTTCTGGCACCTGTCCCAGACTGGCCTTCCTTGGCCTCTGTCTCTTGGGGAGATGGGTGTCTCATTCCCATTTCACGGGTAGCTTCAGCACTCCATAGGAGTTCTACAGCTGAGATGTGTCCAAGCCAGGTTTGGGCCTGCACAGCAGCATACAGATAACCTGACACCATAGACTCTGGCATAATGGAGTGAACTATACTGGGTTTGAATTAGTGTCCCTGCCTTGTTCGATGGGTTCTGGGCTGCTGTGGCCCCTCACAACTTAAGCTGGCCTCTCTCCCTGTATTCATCCTAACAGAGGCTGGAGAACAGTTTGGGCCCAGCCTTGTAGGCTTCTCAGCGCCTCCTTTCTTGCTCTGTTCTTCCTGGTCTGGTTTGACTTAAGCCTGCACAGTGGGGAGGCAGCTGAGCGGATGTTGGGGGTGGCCCAAGCTCTCAGGAATGTGACCCTCCTCCTCTCCCTAGCCAGCAGCCTCTTGGCCCAGAAAATCAAGGCCCCACCCTGGCTGGCCCTTGGCCCAGCCCCTGACAGAGCTGGCCTACGCGATGCTGCCTTTGCCTGGCCCTATGGCCCCTAAGCATGCCCTGTCCCTTTACAGTAGGGCACAAAGAAAGAATCCTGTACCAAGCCCACCCCAGGCCCCTGTCCTAAGGTGGAAGTGGAGAGGTAGGCCAGCAGATGGGTTGGAGGTGGGCACTGGGCAGCCTGGCTTCACAGTGAGCAGAAGCAAGGTACAGGCCTTGTGCCCAGGAGACTGCGCCTGGGCCTGGCCGAGCTGGGCAGGCGCGCCCCATGAGTCCCATCTCGACAAAGCCTCCTGGGTCTCTCTGTTAATTAAATACATTTGTTTGGTGAAAGCAACTAAAAATACTTGCAGCACCAAGGCTGCAGGAGAGGAGCCGGCTAATTAGCACCCAGCTTGTTTGGGATCTGGAATATATTTCCATGCCGATGAGATGCCCTCCTCCTTGCCACCTTCTTGCTGGGGTGTCCCTCACCCCAGGACACCCAAGACCAGCCTTGGTTTTGTTCCTCAGCTACACTTATCCCCAGGTCTCCGCTTGCCCCTTGCCCCAAACCCATCTCCCTCCACAAGTCTGTTAGCCCTGTGAAAGGGGTGCCTGTCTGCCTGATCCCCTGCAGCTTGGTGGCAGGCTCTGTAGCCGTCATGTACCCCACCCTCAAGTTTTGGCATTTGGATTAGAGGAGCCAAGACACACCCACCTGGACTCCGTGTCTTGTCCTATCTCTGTCCTTGGGGTGAGGTAGGCCAGGGACAGTAAGCAAGGTCGGCCTTGGCTCAGTCTGAACCAAACCTGATTCCTGTAGGACTTAGGGAGGTGGCTGGCAGAAGGCTCAGACCCTTGACCTCAGTGTTGTGGCCTGGGGTAGAATGGTGTCAGCCTGTATCACTGAGCCCTGTCTGCCTGATCCCCTGCAGCTTGGTGGCAGGCTCTGTAGCCGTCATGTACCCCACCCTCAAGTTTTGGCATTTGGATTAGAGGAGCCAAGACACACCCACCTGGACTCCGTGTCTTGTCCTATCTCTGTCCTTGGGGTGAGGTAGGCCAGGGACAGTAAGCAAGGTCGGCCTTGGCTCAGTCTGAACCAAACCTGATTCCTGTAGGACTTAGGGAGGTGGCTGGCGGAAGGCTCAGACCCTTGACCTCAGTGTTGTGGCCTGGGGTAGAATGGTGTCAGCCTGTATCACTGAGCCCCCCCCCCCCTTGCTGCCACAGATCCTGGTGGACCTCGCAAACCCTGGTGGCTGGCCAGCCCTGGCCTATGAGAGCGTGGTGGCTCAGGAGGGCAGCCCCATCCTGCGTGACCTTGTTCTTAGCCCTAACCACCAGTACCTCTACGCCATGACAGAGAAGCAGGTAGGTGCCATTGGCCTCTCAGCTATGGGATATTGTACAGGAGGCTGGGGTGGGATACTCTTGTTAGTGAATCCAGTCACAAGGAAACTGGGCATGGGCCTGCCTGAAGTTGTGAGACTGCTTTTCTTCCTGGGGGTACCCCATTAGCTGCAGAACCTAAGTTGTCATTTAGTAGCTGGGGAGTATATCTGTTCTGGGAGGCACGGATATGAGGTTCCCGAGCCATACTTGCTGTCTCAGACTCTCAGGGCTGGGTCAGGAAGTCCCTCTTCTCCCGTGACCTCTAACCACAAAAGTGAGTGCTTGAGTGACGGCATTCTCCCTGCACAGGTGCTATCACAAGATGGGTCTGGGATGCTGGGGTGGGCCCATCTGGCCCTGTCCCTCATCTGCATCATTTGTGGGGCTGTGGCCAGCCTGGCATGCCTAGCCCTTCAAGGCTGTGGGCTTTTTCGTACTGGGGCCTTCCAAGCTTGGAGCCTGCTCTTACCCTTATGCACAAATTGGTGACCCTATGGCAGGTGGAAGGTGGGAAGACAGGAGCAGGAGGAAGGCAGGCGGGGCCCAGCCTCTCTGGCTGGCTCTTGCTTTTCCACTGTACCCTTCTGTGTGTAGTGGGTTCTGCCTCTGGCCACCTCAGGGTTGGAACCCAGAGTCTACCTGCCCCTCTCTAAGCACCATTGGGGCCTTCTTCTGTTCTCTATTTGGGAGTTGTCAAGCCCCTCCATCCTGGGAAGGAGTTCAGACAGGTGAGAGACTTAAGTGTGGCCACAGCTGTAGGTCTCAGCTGGTTGCCTGCCTTGTATCTCTTCTCCCTGTTGGATCCACTTGGGGGAGGCAGGGAGACCCGGCTGGCTTTTGGAATACACTGCTGCACTCCCTTGGGTGGGGACTACAGAGTGGGGCTGGGAGCCTGGGATGCAACTAAATAAACTTCATAATGCTGTCCCTCCCCAGGTAACGCGAGTGCCCGTGGAAAGCTGTGTGCAGTACACTTCCTGTGAGCTGTGCCTAGGGTCTCGGGACCCACATTGTGGCTGGTGTGTCCTACACAGCATGTGAGTCTGGGAGGTCTGGCTTGGATGGGTGGGTGACATTCACCCTAGTGGTCATCAGCAGCCTGCTGTGTGTGTCAGATAGTCACAGCTGCCCTGGATCTCATTCAGCACTACTGACTGATGGTAGGAGTGTTGTGGGGTGGGGGCAGAGGAAGCCATGTCCTCAAGCCCAGGGATCCCTTTGTAATGGCCATGGGGACTCTGGGCCCCTGTGTGCCTAGCATCAGCACACTCTGCCTGCAGTTGCTCAAGGCAGGATGCCTGTGAGCGGGCGGACGAGCCCCAGCGTTTTGCCTCCGACCTGCTGCAATGTGTGCAGTTGACTGTGCAGCCACGAAATGTGTCAGTCACCATGTCCCAGGTGCCGGTGAGTATGACTGTGGGAGGGGGCTGGAAGAGAACAGTGGTCAGAGCAGGTGGAGCATTCACTCAACCAGGCTTCCTGCCTTGGGCTAGCTTGTGCTGCAGGCCTGGAACGTGCCTGACCTCTCAGCCGGTGTCAACTGTTCCTTTGAGGACTTCACGGAGTCTGAGAGCATCCTGGAAGATGGCCGCATCCACTGCCGCTCTCCCTCTGCCCAGGAAGTGGCACCCATTACACAGGGCCAAGGTAAATGGTTACCCCTCCTGCCTAGCAATGACAGGCTGTGTGAAGTCAGGGCAGGGTTAGGAACAGCTCCCCTGGGTATGATGAGAGCTGGGTAAGGATTTGTAGTGCAGCACCTCTCTGCCTGCCATGTTCAATACTGTGAGTAGCGGCAAGTTTACCTGCCCTAGCCCTTATTAGGAAGCTGTTCTCTGGCTGCTGGTCAGCCGAGGAAGGAGCATTGACCCAGGGGCTAAGAGGTAGCATTGGCCACCCAAAGGCCAAGGCAGGGTCCAGGCTCGTCTGATGGGCTCACCTGTCCCTGTCCCATGTGGGTGCTGGGCTCTGAGGCCTATGGCCTGGTAACTCAGCTGCCATGTTCTACAGGAGACCAGCGGGTGGTGAAGCTCTACCTCACATCCAAGGAGACTGGGAAGAAGTTTGCATCTGTGGACTTTGTCTTCTACAACTGCAGTGTCCACCAGTCGTGAGTATCTTAGACCTGTCTTCAGTGCAGTCCCAGTCGTCTCACCTCCTGCAGCTGGCATCCAGCTGAGCAGGCGGAGCACAAGAGGCCTCCAGGAAAACAACTTGCCAGCGGAGGAGCTGGCAGGGCAGGACCACAAGGGTGGCACAGGGATGCTGTGGTGGCATCACACATATGGAGAGCCACCATAGGGCCCAGCAGGTGTGGCACTAGACAGGGGAGTGGCTTGCAGTGACCTAGGAAAAGCCCTGTTGGGTACCAATGGGGCCAGGAGCTCTGGGGATATGGTGATGCAGGCCTTATGGAGCCCAGATGTGAACACTCAGTGTGTGTTGCCTCTGGGCCTGGCAGTAGCTGCTGGACAACTGGACATTCAAACCAGTGGATCTTGCCTAGCTCCTGGAGCTCCTGGCTGGGCACAGAGAGTGGAGGTGGGGTTAGCTCTGCCTGCTGCTGCCCAGCTTAGCCTGTGAGCACCCATCCTCAGGAGGGATACAGACACTGGGGGCTTACTGTGAGTCCATTGTGAGCCAGGACGCTGGTCAAGAGAGAGCTCTTAGCTTTGCCCCCAACCTAGAAGGCCAGGGCAGGCGTGGGGGTTCAGGGCGGTCCCTAGCAGGCAGTGGAGTCTGGACCTTGAAGACAGACTTGACTGGCTTTTCAGTTATGCTTCATTTGTCCATGAACTCCCAGGGCCGTTTCTTTCCCAGACAAGGTAGGGTGTCTCTGAAGCAGGAGACTGTTCTGATCTGAGCCCTTCATGGGTAGCAGGGGTATCTGCCGAAGCAGGGTGACCAGGACTGGTGGGAGACCCTGGAGGGTAAGGTGGAAGTGGTGTTCTGTAAGGCTGTGTGGACAGTGGTCCCTTTGTAAACCCCCGAAACTCATGACATGTGGACAGAGCAGCTCCTGTCCAGGTGGAACTGGTTAGTAGGACAGGCTGAGATGGACTAAGGTTCTGACCAGTTCAGCACCTGTACCTAATCTGATTTTGTTAAAGTATGACATGTAGTACCTACCTTGGATATACTAATAAGCACATTTCTGGTGCTCAATCATAATGACCAGCAGTTACTACAGTAGCCAGCACTGGGTTGAAGAGGGAGAGGGCTGAGGAGGGCAATAAGACCTGCATAGTAGGTAGAGGGCTTGGGAGAGACCTACCTAGCCAGGAGCAGCCAGTACAAAGGCCTGAGGTGACATGCCAAAGAGAAGCAGGGGTCTGGGTTGCCACAAGTGGAAGCACAAGTAGGCTTGACTCTCCCACCCTCCACCTGCAGCTGCCTGGCTTGCGTCAATGGTTCCTTCCCCTGCCACTGGTGCAAATACCGCCACGTGTGCACAAACAACGCTGCTGACTGTGCTTTTCTGGAAGGTCGTGTCAACGTGTCTGAGGTAAGGCTGGACAAGAGATCAGGCTTTCAGAGGTGCCAGCAACCCTCTGGGTGCCACCCAACACCGCCCATGGGTGACTAGGGTGCCAGTTGTACCCTACGAGGTATGAACTGTCTCCTCGATGTTACGGCCCAAGGCCAGACCAGAGGCATTTGTTGGTGGCTCTGGACATCTTGTGATCCTTGGGAGATGGAAGTTAGAGACCTGGATGTTTTTAGGGTTTTGGAGGCAGTAGCCTGGCCATGTAGGTCCCACCATGGACCTTGTCTTCCAGGCAGGGAGGAGAGTTAACAGCAGAGCCTTGCTTGGTTTCTGAAGCTTACCGGTCTGTGGTAATTGCTGATTAGGTGGTAATTTTCTGGAGCCTGGGTGAGGGCCTAACTGTATTTGATAGCAGGCCATTCCTGGAACCAAGGCTCTGAGCTGGACCAGGACATCTTGGGCATACAGGCCTATGTGGTTAGGAAACTGGGGCAGGCTCCTAGGGTCCAGCATGCTGTGGGGCCAGAACTTAGAGCATCACTCACTTCTTTTGCTGTAAATGCCATACTGTTCCTGATGCCATGGCAGCCATGGATCCTCCTGCTTGGGCCTGTGGGAGCTGTAGCCAGCCTGAACTTCTCTAGATCTGGCAGAAGAAGAATGGAATGTGTGGGTGGAGCTCCATGAGCTCCAGATATCACCAGTCTGCTCTCCTCTGTCCTCCTCCTTTCCATACCTCCCTATCACTCTCCTACTTCCTGGCCTGATGTCTGCTGGGATGAGACCTAGGCCTAGTGGTGATGGGGGCTGTCACAGTGGGTGACATGGGAGCCAAGGACACAGTACAGTAGCAGGGTGAGGGCTTCTGAGAGAAGAGTGGCCTGGCAGTCTGAGTCATAGTATCCATGGTAGGCAGCAGGAGCCAGGACAGGGGCCTTGGGAGATGACCAGGGCTGGCCTGAGGCCACTGTTAGAGGCCTCTGCAGAACTGGGGGATTGAGGGGGTAGAATCATAGTGCTGGTGGAAGGCAGGGGAGGGACTGCTTGGTGGCTTCTGAGGCAAGGTTGGCCTAGTCTTCCCTGGTTTTCTGATACTACCCTGGCCAGCCCACCAGGAAGTTTCATGAAGCAGAGAAAACTGCTGAAGTGGCAACCCACTCAGGGTCCTCAGTGCATCAGGGACTCATTGATCTGGAGAGGTGGAGTGGGAAGTGTAGAGCCTCTCTTTGTCTACACAGGGCTGGGGTCAGGGAGGGCTTTGAATTGATTCCATGATTCTTACTCTTTTCTTTAGGTATAGAGTTTTATGGAATGTAAAGAGTAGTATATATTCATAGACTTAGCAAATGGAATCATCTGGAAATATGAGATAGGTTATAACAACCAGCAGACCCCCTTCTCTGCCTCCAGTTCTGGGTCCTCACACTGGGCCAGGGTCCTATGGCTTTCTAGCCCAAGATGCTTTTATGCAGCTTGATGCTGGCCAGGACATAGAGATGTGTGGGTGCTTTCCTTGCTGCACTCTCTACAGGGTTTGCTGAGCAAGTGATGAGGCAGGCAGCCAGCTTGGGACGGTGGGTCCTAGAAGGGACCCTACATGGAGACTTGGGACAGCAGAGCCCATGCTAATAGTTCCTGGGGACCTTGGATATCCTCTAGTGTCACATTCTGACATTCTTGCAGGATCCCCAGTTTCCATGGAAGATACGTATATGGCCTCTCCCACCTGTGTGGCCCTGGAATGATCCTTGAGTTCCCAGCAGGGCAGTAGACTTGTCTGAGTGAGAGAGAGGGCTATAGATCAGGTGACTTAAGAGCCTGCCCTGAGTCAAAGCATCCCCTTCCCTCAGCTACTTCTCAATTGAGCCTGGAATGAGGGTATAGGCCAGGAGCCCTCAGGCAGGGACCCCAGCTCACACTACATGCCTGCCAGTCTTTTAGACATCCCACAGGCTATTGGAAGACAAGGAAAATAGACCCTCAGCTTGCTGATTCTTTGCTCTGATCCAACAGACCCAAAAGGTTCTGTGACCTCCTATGAATAGGGCCTGAGGTACAGGTGGCTGGTGAAGTTAACTCAGCCCAACCTGGTTGCCCCGACAGGGCCCCATCCACCCCAACCTTTGAGTTCTGGAATTTGTAATTAGAAGATGTACCCTGCTGGGCCTGGAAAGGAGGTAGGAGGCTGTGTGAAATGGGAGCTGCACTGGGGAGGCCCAGACAGGTCTGCCACCCAGAGTGTGTGTCCTTGGTGGCTAGAAGGGCATTGTTGGGGTAGTGGGGCAAGCAAGAAGATCTGGCCAGGCTCCAGTCATGTCTGCCCTCTGCCTGCTGCACTCACACTCAGATTCACAGAGGCATTACTGAGGCAGCAGGCAGTGCTGGGGACTGGTCCTGGTGTGTTGTAGACCTAGCCCAACGTAGTTCTGGGCTGAGCCCAAGTTGACACTATTCTCACAATTGTGGTCCTTCACAGTAAGACCCCAGCTTGAGTCTTAGAGTATAGTCACCAGGTGTCCTTCAGGTAGTAGGGAAAGCGCCAGTATGAATATGGCCCTGTATTCCACCAGTATCTTCATTAGGGGCCATCATTTGAGTTGAGGCTGGTGGCCAGTGGACATAGGCGTCCCTTGGGCTTGATCACTGGGCCTTCCCAACTCTTGCTAGGATTGAACCATGAAAGGCTAAGTCAGAGTGCAGGCCCTCCTGGGACCCTGCAGAGACGATCCTTGGCTCACACCCACCCTGGGAGCTGTGGCAGGCCTAGGGGATCCAGCCTGTTTTCAGCATCCCTATTTAAAGCTGTTCCACATGCTCCCATGGGGCAGTTCTTGAGACTGCTGCCAGCCGTGCTGCAAGCAATCCTGGCGTTGCATCAGTTATTGTTGCTGAAACCCTGGCCCCCAGGAGGGGCCCTGGCTGTTTTTCTGCCCAGCCTAGGCTATTTTTACTTGTCCTTGGCCCCCAGCTGAGAGCCTGCTGTCCCAGCACCTCACTCTTGGCTCCTTTTGTCCCAGGACCCTGTGTAGCTGTGGGCTAGATGAGATACCTATGGGGTTCTAGGACATGGTCAGAGTGAGCAGGCTGGCTTCAGTGAAGCCACAGCCTGGTGGATGAGCTGGACCCAGAGGGGCACTGTCCCCAGATGCAACATGACATGGGGAGTCTAGGCTTTGTAAGCTGGGGCACAGCAGAGCACATTCTCACTGGCCACCAGCTCACCCAGAGCCTTGCTGTTTCCAGGATTGCCCACAGATCCTGCCCTCCACCCATATCTATGTGCCAGTGGGTGTGGTGAAACCCATCACCCTGGCTGCGAGGAACCTCCCACAGCCACAGTCAGGCCAGCGAGGCTATGAATGCCTTTTCCACATTCCGGGCAGCCCGGCTCGAGTCACCGCCCTGCGCTTCAATAGCTCCAGCCTACAGTGCCAGAACTCATCGGTAAGGGGTCAGTGGGTGGGGAGGGTGCGCCATACCAGGGTGCTACCTGCCCAGTGTGAGACCTTTATTTGCTAGCCATAAAAGGCCACTGTGGCTCACAAGCCAAGCGTGACTTGGGAGGGTCAAAGGGCTTTGCTAGTTCCCTGAACCATTGAGCCCTTTGGGTGAGTTTGGGTGGCACAGGTGAATGGGATGACGGTGGGGCTGTACCTTCCAGTCTCTAAGTGGAATAACCAGGTACAGTGACCACAGCCTGTGTCCTGTGACCATGGAAGAAACGGCCCACACTGTGGCCATCTGAATGACAGTAGATGGCCTGGCGAGTGGGTCAGGGAAACCCAGATTGGGATTGTCACATCTCACAGTCACTTTCTGAAAGTTGTCACTGTGTTCAGCAAGCCTGGTGTTGGGGCTCTTTCTGGAGCAGGGTTCTTTATATAGCAAACCCTTTCTGGGTATGCATAGAAGGCCTGAGCCAAGGTCTCGAGCTCTCCTTTGGCTTGCTAACTACCTGCAGGCCTCAATTTTCCAGGAAGGGTAGTCAGGAGGACAGTGAATTTCTCAAAGCAGGCTTTGGCCCATATTGGCAGAGCAGGTGGACACAGGGCTATTGACAAGGACTTGAATGGCCTCACCCCAGGCTCCAGCCCTTGAATGACAGAGGTCTGTCCAGAAGGATGGGAGCCTGGGGATCAGAATGGACTTCCAGGGTGGCATGGGCTGTAGGTCAGTGGAAGGATGCTCCCATCCAGCAGGGAAGGCTACTCTCCCCTTCCTGCTTTGTTGGTCACCACCCATCCTTCTCATTCACCCCCTCTCCTCTGGCTCTATCACCCTTTTCCATATGCTTTTGCTTCCTTCTCTCCATCCTTCATTCTGTTGTCCCCTTCTCTGCAGATCCCCATTTATCTTTTCTTCAGCAGTATTTAAAAGGAAAGAGAAAGTATCAAAGAATTTGATAGAATCTGATTAAATTCCTTCAGGTAAATAGGGTTACCTCTTCAGAGGGGGGAATGTTAGAGTAGCCAGAAGCCTCATAAAAAAATAATAAAAGGAGAAGAAAGAGTACATGAAGTTATCAGAAAAAAAGTGATGGGGAGATATGGGAGGAGTTGGAGGGGAGGGAGTAGGCATGGATTTGATCAAAACACCTTATATGCATGTATGAAATTCTCAATAAATTTATTTTTTAAAAAGAAAGAAAGAAAAATATTGCTAGGCTACCGTTTAGAGACTCCATGCTGCCTGCCTTGGCCCCAAACACAAGAAGGAGTTGAGGTCATCAGCTGCACAAAGTGAGAGGCAGAGTCTAGACCCAGCTCTTGAGAAAGGGATGGAGGTAGAGCCCGTCCCCCAGAACAATGATCTTTTGGTTTGTTCCCAAGCTGTGGGGACATAACACTTCATGCCTCCAGAGTTCTTGCCCACTTAACAGGAAAAGACACCAGCACTTAATGCTGTTGGGCCCTGCTTTCCCAGGACTGTGTCTGAGATGGCCTTGGAGGATGGCCTTGCGAAGCTGGCAGTTGTATGGCAGTTATCTCTGTGGCTGCAAGAGATAGAGTGGCAAGAGGGAGTGGAGCTATGAGTCATGAAGGAAACCCTGTTTATAGGAGTAGAGGAGCTGGGTGTATTGTATGTAGCTTAGCTTCGCAGATGGGCAAGCTGACCCAGTGGTCAGTTTTAAAAGTGCTGAGGAACCCCAACTGGCAGCTTTGACCCTTCACACAGTGTGAGACGGTAGGCCACCACCCCAGGCATGACCACTGTGCCTGCTTCCAACAGTACTCCTACGAGGGGAATGATGTCAGTGACCTGCCTGTAAATCTGTCAGTCGTGTGGAATGGCAACTTCGTCATTGACAACCCTCAGAATATACAGGGTGAGTGGTGGGACTGGTAGCCTGAGTGGGTGGGTGGTGTGTGGGCTGTATTGACCTGCCCTTTCTCTTCTAGCCCACCTCTACAAATGCCCAGCCATGCGCCAGAGCTGCGGCCTCTGCCTCAAAGCTGACCCACACTTCGAGTGTGGCTGGTGTGTGGCTGAGCGCCGCTGTTCTCTGCGCCATCACTGCCCAGCTGACACACCTGCCTCCTGGATGCATGCACGACATGGCAGCAGCCGCTGCACAGACCCCAAGATCCTCAAGGTAGGGACTGTAGACATGGTCCAGCACCTACCTGCCTAGCCTGCCTACCATCTCCTGTTACCTGGCATGGTGGACCTTGCCATACCAGCCCCAGCCTCTGCTTTCCTGCAGCTGTTCCCAGAGACAGGCCCCAGGCAGGGAGGGACTCGGCTCACCATCACCGGCGAGAACTTGGGCCTCCGGTTTGAGGATGTGCGTCTGGGTGTGCGAGTGGGCAAGGTGCTGTGCAGCCCTGTGGAGAGCGAGTACATCAGCGCTGAACAGTAAGGCAAACTGGGGTGGGATGGTGAGGTCCTGTATGACTTGGGGAGAGGTCCTGCAGTTGCTTATGTCTACCATGCCCACAGGATTGTCTGTGAGATCGGGGATGCCAGCACACAGCGGACCCATGATGCCCTGGTGGAAGTGTGTGTGCGTGACTGCACCCCCCACTATCGAGCCCTGTCTCCCAAGCGCTTCACTTTTGTGGTAAGTCCCTCCTGGCCGCTCTCTCTGCTCCTTGCTGCTTTTAGAAGGGGAACTAAAGGAGCAGGCTGGGCCTCCAGCTGTCTGTTCATCCTCTAGTACTGCACACTATGGTTCTGTTGCCCAATCTTGGGCTGAGCCTAGCCACAGGGGAGGGTAATTTTCTCTACCCCCAGGTTGTCTGGCCATCTGGGAGTAGAGTAGGAGGCCTAGTCCCAGCCTGTGGACTCCAGGTCCGAGGGCCCAACTGCTAGGGAATTTAGGATGGACCAGGACTGTGCTCATGTTGCCCAAGAGGGCCTTCCCCCAACAAGCCTATCTTCTGGCAGACACCAACCTTCTACCGTGTGAGCCCCTCCCGGGGGCCTTTGTCCGGGGGCACCTGGATTGGCATTGAGGGAAGCCATCTGAATGCAGGCAGTGATGTGGCTGTGTCCATCGGAGGCCGTTCCTGCTCCTTCTCCTGGTATGGGGTGAGGAGTCGGGGGCCACAAGGCTCTCCCTCCTGGCTCTGCGGGCCCCCTCCTGTTGCCTAGGCAACGGGTATGGAGAATATAGTTGGGGTGATCACTGTGGAAACCCAGAGGCAGAAAAGGTTACCATGGAGATGGGGGCTGCCTCTAGAGTAGAAAGTGGGCGTGGCCAGGCCTCAGGGTAGGTACCACCTGCTGCCTCTGCCCTGATCCATCCCAGAGAGGAGGACTCCTTTGTGAGCAAAATAAAAGTATTTTTTTTTTAAGTTTAATAGAGAAAACAGACATCTTAACAAAAGCCTTGAGGCTTGAAGTGGATAATTTTAGATTAGGGATGATAATGGAAGGCCCTTTAAATATTTTCCTGTGGTAATTACCTGTTATCAGGCTAATCATTGGTGTTTTCAGCCTGGGGGCTGTGGGGCCTCCAGGCTGAGGTAATGGATCAAGTCACCTGGCCTATTGCTCTTGGAAGTAACCTATCACCCCATGCCCAGTCCAGCTCACTCTTTCCACACAGCCCAGGGGCTAGGTGTTTTCCAAGTTGGGAGGGGACCATAGGGAAACAGAGAGCTGGCTTCTTTAGGGTACTCTGATCTGAGGCTCAGGAAGACAGTGCTGACAGGTGGGAAGGATCAGGCCTGCAGTCAGTCTTGCTGGCCTCCGGAGCAACAGTAGGTCTTGTGCAAGGTAAGCCTACCCCCAGCCTGGCTAAGTGGAATAGGGTGGCTGTCTGGCACTTCTGAAAAGATAAAGGCTCAACTAGGGACTCCTGAAAAGTCAGCAGTTGATAGGGCCCACCTCATCCCTCCACAGTACTGTCACGAGGAAAGCAGGGTGGAAGTCGGGCCCAAGGAGGGCAAAGGGCCAAGTATGGATGGGACCCAAGGGACTGGAGGCTAGAGAAGCCAGCTGGGATCCAGGTGGCTGCTCAAGGGTCAGAGTGGTCTTTCAAGTAGCCATCTAGAGGCAGTGCTCAGCTCACCATGGACAGCTACAGATGTATTGGCATGCCCACCTTACCATGCCCCTCTCCCCCACAGGAGGACCTCTCGAGAGATCCGCTGTCTGACACCCCCAGGGCAGACCCCTGGCAGCACCCCCATTGTCATCAACATCAACCGTGCCCAACTCTCCAACCCTGAGGTGAAGTACAACTACACTGAAGACCCTACCATCCTGAGAATCGATCCCGAGTGGAGCATCAACAGGTGGGAGACCTGCCAAACCCCGTCCTACTATGGAGCCAGGAATATCTCCCTAGTCCCCACTGTGGAGCACCTTCCCATTCCCCACTGTGGAGCACCCCCCATTCCCCACTATGGAGCACCCCCCATTCCCCACTGTGGAGCACCCCCCATTCCCCACTGTGGAGCACCCCCCATTCCCCACTGTGGAACTGGGAGCTCCTCCCTATGACACTCTGGTGGCTTGTGTGATGACAACATTCTAGACTGGCTGTGATAGTCCTGGCAGGAAGCACTCTTGTCTGAGCTTTGAACTACCTGCCCATGGGGAAAGGAGCTGTGTTTGGCCCTCTTGTACTTCTAGGCCCAGTGCATTCTTTGATTCCCTACTCCTTCCTTTAGTGGTGGGACCCTCCTAACAGTCACAGGCACCAATCTGGCCACCGTCCGTGAACCTCGAATCCGGGCCAAGTATGGCGGCATTGAGAGGAAGAATGTGAGTGCATGCCCTGGGCCAGCCCACTCCAACCCCCTCTTAACTCCCTTGCCTCATTCTGCCCTGCCCTTCTCTCCCACCATCTGGGCCTTACGTGAGCTGGAGCTCCTGCTGCTAACACCCCTGCCACCTACTCCCTATGTATGCCTTCTGTGCTGAGGCCCTGAGGGGGTAGAGATGGCCAGCTGGGTGAGCCCTGGGCTCTGGCCTGTCTGGCCCTCAGCCTGCAGATGCTGCACATCTTGGACCCATGCTTGCCTGGTGCCTGCACCATCCTCAAGGGGCCATTATGCCTAGGGTGGGGCTATCATGGGGGTGCTGGCCTGTTTTGAGAGGGCTGGCCCAAGGTCCTGGTGCCTGTGTCCCAGAGCTGCATGGTATACAACGATACCACCATGGTGTGCCGGGCACCGTCCATAGACAACCCAACGCGCAGCCCACCAGAGCTAGGGGAACGGCCGGACGAGCTGGGTTTCATTATGGATAATGTGCGCACACTGCTGGTGCTCAACGGCTCCTCCTTCCTGTACTATCCCGACCCTGTGCTGGAGCCACTGAGTCCCACCGGGCTCCTAGAGCTGAAGCCCAGCTCTCCACTCATCCTCAAGGTGGGTCTCAGGCTGAGCTAGTAGGCATTTGGGACTGGAGGTGAGGCACCGGCCTGTCCTCAGCTTACCCTATTCTTGCACAGGGCCGCAATCTTCTGCCACCTGCACCTGGCAACTCACGGCTCAACTACACAGTGCTCATTGGCTCCACACCCTGCATCCTTACAGTATCTGAGACGCAGCTACTATGTGAAGCGCCCAACCTCACAGGACAGCACAAAATCACGGTGCGTCCCACAGCCCAGCCATCTGCCTGAGGCAGAGAGCCCATGAGATCCTTGTCACAGCCTAGCTGTGGTCCCCTAGACTCACCCTTCCTTCTGACTACTGGCCCTACCCCACATGGGCAACTCCACCTGTGAGCAAATACCCTAGGACCTGAGCTCCAATGCAGACCCTGCTCAGCCTTCACCATCTTCATCTCTGTGTTTTCCACTCCCCCACCCCACCCCACCTACCTGTCCTGATTCTTTGCTGCCCTGGCTGGCCTGGGTGCCTGCCCTGGGTTCTGGCATCTTGCCCCTATTAGCCACTTTGGGTGCCTGTTGCCAGTATGTAGGTGCTGTTGAACAGGGGACCTTGAACTCTGAGGGGTCGTGGCCTCTGAGCACCTCCATCTCATCTGGCAGGTACGGGCAGGTGGCTTTGAGTTCTCACCAGGGATGCTGCAGGTATACTCAGACAGCCTGCTGACATTGCCAGCCATTGTGGGCATCGGTGGGGGTGGTGGCCTCCTGCTGCTGGTCATTGTGGCTGTACTCATCGCCTACAAGCGCAAGTCCCGGGATGCCGACCGCACCCTGAAGCGACTGCAGCTGCAGATGGACAACCTGGAGTCCCGAGTGGCCCTTGAGTGCAAGGAAGGTCAGCGGGGGATGGGAGTGGGACCAGATGCTGGGAGGGGTGGGGCCTTGGGAGCTGAGGCAGTCCTCACCACTGAGCTTGATGGCTAGCTCTGGCTTGGCCTACTCTGTGTCTTATGATACAGGACTTGGTCCCAGGGAGGTGGCTTATAAGCCTGGGACCACCTAGCCTTTTGTGCCCCAGTCTTGTCTGCAGAATGGGCATAGGGACAGTGTGCCTACATACCTGGGTATCACATAGGGGAGCAAAGATGCAAGTGCCCATGCTCTGCCCCGAGAGGCCCAAGTGGGCCCTTAACTGAATGGGCATCTGCTCCCTGGCAGCCCTTGTGAACAGGAAGCAGCCACGGGCTGGGGCTGATGAGAAGAAACGAGGTTTGCCTTGGGGTTCTTGCTTATGGAGAAAGAGTGTCCACCCAGCCCAGCGTGGCCCACACCTCTGTCAGTTTGTGTGGCTGTGGGCCTGCCAGAGAGAGGAAGCCAGGTGCCTGATGGTGACCAGGAGATGAAAGCATGACACTTCGCTAGACCTACCAGTCACCCCAGAGCCTGTCCTGCCCCTCTGGCTTCTGATCATATGGTGGGTGGCTACAGAGCTGATACCTCACAGCTCTGGAATGTTTCACGAGACCTGCCACTCTTCCCTGCTTCCTTTGTTACTGAGAGGCAGTGTGGACTGGGGCAGCAGAGTTGAGGGGCCTGAGCCCAGGGGGTGCATAAAGGCAGTGGCCAGGGGCTGGAGAGATGGCTCTGGCTGTTCTTGCAGAAGACCTGGGTTCAAATCCCAGCACCCACATGGCAGCTAACAACTGTCTGTAACTCCAGTTCCAGGGGATCCAACAGCCTCTTCTGTCCTCTGCAGGCATTGCATGGCACGGGTACACTTACCTACATGCAGGCAATACATGCATAGAAAAAAAAATAATAAATACAATATTGGGAGGGAAAAAAAAAAGGCTGTGGCCAGCATGGGGCTGAGAGCCCAGAGATGGTGCTGGGATGCCATGGCTCCCACTCCATGCAGGGCATGGTTTTGGCCGAGGGGTCCACCTACCCACTGCTGCATCATTGTTGTCCTTATTCTGGTTAATCCCACAATAGCACAAAAGACAAGTACTTTGTCAGCGTTAAGACTGGGGAAACTGAGGCATAGAAAGGCGAGGCACAGTGGTTCCTTAAGCTCAGGATCAGTGATCTTGGCTAGACAGTGGGTGGGTTGGAGATAAGGAGGGGCAGGTTGGGCCATGGGCATGCTGCTCCTGACCCTGTGCCACCCCTGACTCTGCATCTGCCACAGCTTTTGCAGAGCTACAGACAGATATCCATGAACTGACCAGTGACCTGGATGGCGCAGGCATCCCGTTCCTCGACTACCGCACGTACGCCATGCGAGTACTGTTCCCTGGGATTGAAGACCACCCTGTACTCAAAGAGATGGAGGTAAGACTGTCAGCTCAGGGGTCTCTGTGGGCTCTTGGGCAGTCAGAGGATGTCGGGGTTAGCATGGCTCTCCAGAGACAGGTGCAGGGCTCAGCAGAGTGAGGAATGTGGGTCGCACACCCATGTTGGAGCCAGCATAGGATGGGGGCACCTTAGCTCTGGGGCAGGGGTTCTGAGCTCTGAGGATAGGGTGGCTAGCCCTGGGTAGCTTCACTCCCCAAGTATCTCAGGAGGCAGGAGAGAGGCCCTGGGTGTGGAGCAATGGCCCAGGCCTTGTCCAAACAAAACACCCTTTAGCCTGGTATCCTGATGCCTCTGCCCATCCTGAGCTGTATGTGGCTGCCTACTGCTCCTACCCAAGTCTCTTAGAGTGTCTAGGTGCTGAGCTTCACAGTGCAGTCAGAGCATCCTGGTCTACATGTGTGCACCAATCCCAGGCAGCCTTAGCTAGGTGGGCTTCCTTTGCCTTAGCTGTTGGGCTATGTCCTGTGGTCTGAGGCCTGAGAACCTAAGCTATTGGGCTGTGTCCTGGGGTCTAAGGCCTTTGTACCCCCAGGTACAGGCCAATGTTGAGAAGTCTCTGACACTGTTTGGACAACTGCTGACCAAGAAGCACTTCTTGCTGACCTTTATCCGCACACTGGAGGCCCAGCGCAGCTTCTCCATGCGTGACCGTGGGAATGTGGCCTCGCTCATCATGACGGCCCTGCAGGGCGAGATGGAGTATGCCACAGGCGTGCTCAAACAGCTGCTGTCTGACCTCATTGAGAAGAACCTGGAGAGCAAAAACCATCCCAAGCTGCTGCTGCGGAGGTATGCCTGCATAGCCAGGGGAGGGAGGGTTGGTAGGGGGATTATCCCTGCTCACCAGCTACTCCCATGGGTTCTGAGGTAAAGGTCTCCATGGAAATTTGCAGTTCAGCATACCTTGAGGCCTGGCCTGTGGGTGGGGTTACCCTGAGGTTGTAGGGACCTGATGGATGGTAGAAGTGACTCTACTCTGCCTGTCTGCTGCTCTGCCTGCAGGACTGAATCGGTAGCAGAGAAGATGCTGACCAACTGGTTCACATTCCTTCTATACAAGTTCCTCAAGGTAGGTGACTCTAAGTGGTGCCAGCTAGGCATCTGAGGCCCAGTGAATGGAGGGGAGGGAAGGGAAGGACTGGAGTGGGGTGAGAACCAGGCATCCCAAGAAGGTACAGTGCCAGGGCTACAGCAGGCAGCACCATGATGGGTTGAACTGATCACCTGCACTGTGGAGATTAGGCAATCACAGAACTGGGTAGCACTCTGGCTTCCCCTGACCTCACTGCCAACAGGTTGCATCCCTCACGTGTCAGTAGGCTCCAGGGGAGCAAGGCCTGTGCATACCAGCTCTGCCACTCTGTGTCTCTGTCCTGACCACTGCTCTGTAGATGCAGTGATCAGCAGTGCGGCTAGACAAGAATGAGGCTGCTGCTGCCACCTCTGCCAGACCCTGGTATTCCTACACCCCTTCCTCCACCCCAGGCTGCTGCTGGGCTCTTGCCAGCTGGCCCAGAAGGGGCAGCATGTGGAACTATACAGAGCAGTTCTGTGGCAAGACACCAGTTCTTGCTGCAAGGTGAACCAGTAGATAGGAGATGGCAGTGGGCAAGAGGCAGGAGCAGGGATGAAGAGTGAGTGAGGAGCACTGGAAATCAGCTGATGGAGGGTAGTGAACTGGGCAGCCGAGAAGGGCTCTGGACCTTCCAGGTAACCTGTGTGAACAGACAGCATCTCTGGCAACAGATAATAGGTGTGACTCCTATGAAAGTGCCACCATGCAACAATAATTTATTTACATGCTCATTAAATCGGACTCTGTGAACCGGAAGAGGTGAGGCAGAGCAAGGGATAAGGCGCCCTGTGTGGCACCTGGGCCCACACTGGGTCTTGGCATGTGCTAACCCCTTTTGATCTTCATTTTCCACACCCTGAGGAGCGGGTGCAGTTCATCCCATCAGGTCTCAGGTCCTGAGCTGGCTCTGGAGTGACTCCTGCTGTGCTGCAGGGAGCAGGCTGCCTCAGGAAGCTGGCAGCTCCAGCCCTGCAACTGTCATCATGGGGAGGAGGGAGTAGGGCCTGTGAGGCAGGGAAGCCTCACAGAGAGGCAGCAAAGGGTGTGGGGATGGTGAAGGGAGGGGAGAAAGCCTATGATGACTGAAGAGGGGGAAGCAGGGCTTAAGAAAAGCAGAGTCCTTAGCCCCCTAGCCACTCTACTCCCAGTCCTCTCAAGGTCTAGTCAGGAAACTTGGTCGCCTCACCCTTCTCATCTCTGGTTCTCCTATGGCCTCACTGTGCAGAGGAGAACTAAGGTTCATTATGCCCGAGGCCAGGCAGCAGGAGGCCACACTAGAACCTTGCTTCCCCTGGACGGCAATCTCTACACCAGGAGTGGGGCCAGACTGGCCTTGGCCTGTTGTCCCTGCCTGTGACCAGTGAGTGTTCAGGCCCCATGTGAGTCACTGCAGACTTGGGGTAGAGGGTGCATAGTGTGTCATTCTGTGTTTTTGACCTCTGGCCTGTACAAGCCTCTTAAGAGAGGTAGGTATACCTCCATCCTCCCTTCCCTGAGCTGGCCACCAGGTCCCCCTATTGCCCCCAATTCTGCCTTTCAGAGTGACTTCTTTCAGTTCTGGAACTGAGGTTCCCTCATCTCTTACATGGCTCCACACAAAGCTGGTTTCTTTTTTTTAGCTGGTTTCTTTTTAACATGCCACGAACTTTTAAAAAAAGTTTTACTGGTTTAAAATATATATAATCTAAAATTCACCCTCTTTTTATTTTATTTTCTAAGACAAGGCCTCAGTATGTAGCCCTCCTGAGTATGTAGTGTACCATTTGCTAGTATTAACTCGTCTGTAATGTGCAGTGCTTGCCACCATCAGCTGCAAGGCTCTTCATTTTACAAAACTGAAATCTGTCCCCATGAAACACTCCCTGTCCTTCCTGTTCTTCTCCCTGACTCCTAGAACCTACCTTCCTACTCTCTATCTGAATCTGACTGCTGTAGGGACACCCTCTTAAGTGGAACCATCTGGTTGTCTCAGCATGGCCGTCTTTCATTCAGCACGATGTCACTGCATCTCAGTATCTGACAGATAACAGTGTGGTCTGTGTGGTTCCTTTGTGGCCACTGTGTATGCTCTCCTTAAGGATGGTTACCAGTGCTCAGCTACAGTCTGTAAATATCCGGTGGAAAACTGGAAGTATTGCAGACGTGTTAAATTGTCAGCTATTCTGACAAGTGTGGTGACTGGTCCTTCCTACAGCAAGAACCAGCCCCTCTGTCCAGGATACCCACTCCAAGTACACTGCCTACCCACTGGTTGAGAGCCATCATCTTGGTTATCATATCTCCTGTCATACTTTCACAGGGTTTGTGTTCAAGTGGACCATGATTTATTTAATAACAGCCCTGGAACTCAGGGCTGGTGAGGCTGGCAGTTCAGAGGCCAGAGAGGCTCTGAGAAGGGCTTCCACATAACCAAAGTCTGCAAGAGAAGGAAACCTATGTCTGGGAGATGGTAAAAAGGAACAAGGAATTGTTTCTGGATTCACCATACCACCTCAAACTGCAAAAGTTACAAGCACAGTGCTTGATGGGAAGGATGGAAGGGCTCTGAGTCTCCAGCAAGAAGGACAGACTCTACACAGAAAACATGCTCTGGCTGATGGCCACAGGACCTTTGAGCATCCACAAGAACCTCAGCCAGGGCTCCAGGCCACACGCTGTACTGGGAGGAACTGTTATACTCACTCAGAAATAGGCTGGTGATACACTGGAGAAAGGCGGGTCGACTGGATTTGGTCTTTCCAAAGGCTTCTGGTGTCTGGGCCCATCCCTTGCCCACACAGATAAAGGGGGCCAGAATCCATATGTGGGCATAGTCACTTTGCCTTCAAAGAAGGAGAGTGGCATGAGGGAAGTATGAGCATTGGACTACACTACTTGTTCAGCCAGTCCAATCCTTAACTAGAAAAGTCACCCCTGCTTAAACTGTATATTGCAAATGGCACCCTATGAGTTGCTGGAGGGACAAGCCCCCAACCCCTGGGGTCACAGCTGCCAGTATTATTGGGTATTAGCAAATGTCTGTATGTACAGGAATGTTTTTAGTTCAAATTCTGTTTGAACCCATGCTGGTCTGGTCTCTGGCCTACGTGAACCTCCTGCCTCAGCCTCCCAAGCAGCCCAAGTGCTTTCCAATAGCTAGTCCTGATGCCCCATCTTATTTATCAGAGGTCTCTATGCCATGCTATGCATTTGTCTGGCACTTTCCTCCCTCCTGCCCCCATCTCAGGTGGGGTTAGGCCCACCTTTGCAGATATGCAGGCACAGGTGTTTGTCCTGTTTGTAGCTGCATAATGCTCCACAGTATGACCTTTGTGCCATTAGTTTCACTCTTCCTGTGATGCTGGCAGTGGGTGTTGGGAATCGGGATTCTTCTCAACACAGCCAGCTTTCTGGAGCAGCTGTCTGCTGTGTGGGCTTCCAGTAGGGTGAACACAGGTGATCAGACACAGTCATTCTCCACGTAAGACATGCTGGCTCTTGTCTGGATCTTCCCAGGCGTGGGTGCTGCCGGCTCCATCAGTGATGGGTATAGACAGCCAGTTGCTTTACCTAGTGTTTATTAACAAGCCTCCTGCTTGATTGGCTACTTTAATCTTTTCTTTGAAGCTACATTTGTGTGCATTTTCTAGGGTTCTTTATTTAGTATATGATAGTTTCTTAAAATACCAGCTTTCTGTTGTTAAGCTCCTACACTAGCTGAAGTGACTGACATGTGGCATGAGGTAGGGATCTAACTTGATTCTCCCCACAGATGGGGGCTCTCACCCTGCCATGTTTAGTGAGCTGTGCTCCTCCTGCACCTTCTCTCAGTGTTCAGTGGAAAGTGAAGCCCGGGGAGGGGAAGGCCTTGGGCTTAAACCAGCTTTATTCTGGGTCTGCCTTCTTCCTGCCTTCTTCTTTTGCACAATCTGGGCAGGCCTCCTGAAAGTGGTAGTCCCAGGTGGCAGGAGGAGGCTGCCTCCTGGGTAAGGTGCATTGCCTGACTTTGATTGTTCTCTGAGAAATCCTGGCCTTTAAACAGGTGCGTCAGGGTTGGGTAGACCTGCATTCAGATCCTGCCCTCCTGTTACTCACTGTGTGACCTTGGGCAGTTGCCTGTCTCCTCTGATCTTCAGTGCCTGTGCTCCTTTCATTCTACATTCCCCTGATCTGGGGAAACCTGACAGGGTCTCATCCCTCCTCCCTCAGAGGCAGCGACTGATGGCTCTAAGCCCCAACCTGCTTCCTCTCCCTCCTGAGCTGACTTAATGAAACCAAGTTTGCAAATGAAACATAATTTCAAAGACAGGAGTGTCTTTGGAAGGTCTCAGGATGATCTATGCTTGTGGCTGTTCCTTAGCAGCTGTCTCTTTAATTACTGCAGATGCTAGCAAGGGACCAGACCATATGGGTACAGGGGCAGAGTCACTATGAGCTTGCCAGGGCTGGGCCTGCCTCCCACCTGTGAACTTAGAGTGACTTCGGCCCAGCGTCTGTGGCTGCTTACCTACAGAGTGGGCACATCTAGTGACCACTGCAAGGGGTGGCTCTTCAGGGCCACTGGACTAGTCTGGGCTCTAGCCAGTTAGCTCACTCAGCAGTGGCTGCCTACACTCCAGAAAGACCAGGAAGACCTCAGCGGGGGTCCTACCTTATAGGGACAGCAGATGCAAAGGCCCTGAGGTGGGGCCTGAAAGTGACCCTTGGGGCTGCAGTGTGGAGAGCCAGATTGCAGGTGGTTGGAGGTAGGGCAGTGCAGGCCCTCAGCAAGTGCCTGGGAGTCACCCTTCCAGCTCCCATTCCCCCTGGCACTGGGCTATGGGCTCCTGGGCCCCTCAGTGCTGTGGAGCTGCATGTCATCTTGGTGAAATTGTGTTCTTAGTGATGCCAGAGTTCTAGCTGAGTGGGTCCCTAGTCCAGCAGATCATAGTCACACTCAGTGTGGGCGGGGGTCTCCACCAAAGAACCTGCAGGCCTTAGTCTTCCTGGTGTGATCTTGTTGGCCACCTACTCTGACCCTTGTACCTCTGCATTTATGGTTTCTCAAGGATTTCCATGAGGATGCTGGGGCTGTCCTCATCTGATTCCCTTGTCTTGTCCTTGCTGGATGCTGGCTCTAGGGGCTTGCTTGCCTCCTAGGAATTAGAGCCATTGGTGCCACTCTAGTCTGAGAGATCGGTCTGAAAGGGCCCAGGGATGACTGTGCAGGGTGCCCAGGTACTGATCCAGCTTCACCCACACACACACCCCTACCACAGGAGTGTGCTGGGGAGCCTCTTTTCATGCTGTACTGCGCCATCAAGCAGCAGATGGAGAAAGGCCCCATTGATGCCATCACGGGGGAGGCTCGGTACTCCCTGAGCGAGGACAAGCTCATCAGGCAACAGATTGACTACAAGACACTGGTGAGTCAAGGACCTGTCCCCACCTCATTGACACCAGTGTGAGTGAACAGGACTAGTGGAAGTGAGGGGTAAGGCTGATGCTGCCTTAATTTTCCCCTTAGACCCTGAACTGCGTGAACCCTGAGAATGAGAACGCACCTGAGGTACCTGTGAAGGGGCTGAACTGTGATACTGTGACACAAGTCAAGGAGAAGCTGCTGGATGCTGTGTACAAGGGTGTGCCCTACTCACAGCGACCCAAGGCTGGAGACATGGACCTGGGTGAGTGATGGAGAAGTGGCTCTCTGTATGGTGCCCAGAGGGCCAGGAGTGCCCAGGAGCCACAGCACCGGCCCACCCCTCCGCCTCCCACCCCCGTGCTGGCTGTCCTGATCTCACAGAGGGCCTGAAGAAGATGTGACAGCTAGAGTCTCCAGGGTGGGGTGGTGGAGGTCCAAGGAGAAGAGGCAGACAGTAGGTGTAATGTTCTCTGGGGCCTGGGGAAGGGAGGGGGTAGGACATAGCTCCGGGGTCCTGCGGCAGATGTGGCTAGAAGGTCTGGGCCTGGAGCCTGGGCAGCCTTAGCCTGTTACTATATCCCAGGCTCTTCACTAGGTGCAGAACAGGCCCTGCCCTATGCTCTAGTAGAATGAGGGACTGAGCCAAGTCCCAGGAGGGGAGACCTTGCCCAAAGGGGCTGGGACAGAAGGAAGGACATACCCCCCCCCCGAGGGCTAGGACCCAAAGGGCCCTGCCTCCAATACCCTCCTTTCCTCAGAGTGGCGCCAAGGCCGCATGGCACGCATCATCCTTCAAGACGAGGACGTCACCACCAAGATCGACAATGACTGGAAGAGGTTGAACACACTGGCCCACTATCAGGTGACCCCACCCTCCAGGGACCACCCCCACTCTGGCCACTGTGTGGACTTTCCTTTACATAGACCATGCCCAACTAGGGACTGGTGTGAAAGGATACAGGTGACACATGAGTGAACTGCCCCAGGCTCAGGGATTATCTGCTCAAGCTGTCCCAGTAAGCTCACAAGGCTCAGAGTGGTGATGTGAGTCATCTCCAGGATAGAGTCAGGGTTGTCCTTAGGTCTTCTCAAGTTGGGAAAGGTATCTTAGTGATACCCTGGGGACACATGTTATCCCTGACTTCTGCTCACAGGTGACAGATGGGTCATCAGTGGCACTAGTGCCCAAGCAGACATCTGCCTACAACATCTCCAATTCCTCCACCTTCACCAAGTCCCTCAGCAGATACGGTGAGTGTCCAGAAGGGTAATGACCAGACAGTGGGCAGGCAGAGGACCTGAACAGGATATCCCTCTTCCTCAAGCCCCATCACGAGTGCAATGCTAGGACAAAAGAGTCATGGCTGTGACCTGTCACTGGGTCCTTGGCCTTCCCTTCAATTCTGGGGCATTGTCTCTCCCCATAGCCTGAATCCAAATACCTCTTGCTGCCCCTGTGGCCACAGTGGTCATCCCCAACACACTTGAGAGGAGCATTGATGCCCCTGCTTCTGAGAAAAAGCTGGCTGGGGTGGTGTCTGGCTATGGGTAAGGGATGCAGCCCTGCCAACTAATGGATCATTCCTGCAGAGAGCATGCTGCGCACAGCCAGCAGCCCCGACAGTCTGCGCTCACGAACACCCATGATCACACCTGACCTGGAGAGCGGCACCAAGCTGTGGCACCTTGTGAAAAATCATGACCACCTGGACCAGCGGGAGGGCGACCGTGGCAGCAAGATGGTCTCAGAGATCTACCTGACACGGCTGCTGGCCACCAAGGTAGGTGGGGGCCAGACCCAGGGACACCAGACTCTGGCCTAAGGGTCCTGAGGTTGGTGCTCCCAGGCAGCCCTGAAGCTCTGCCCCTTACCATGCAGGGCACACTTCAGAAGTTTGTGGATGATCTCTTTGAGACCATCTTTAGCACAGCACACCGTGGCTCAGCCCTGCCTCTAGCTATCAAGTACATGTTTGACTTCCTGGATGAACAAGCTGACAAGCACCAGATCCATGACTCTGATGTGCGCCACACCTGGAAAAGCAACTGGTGAGATGGGTGGGTGGGTGCCACAGGGTAGGACTGCTAGGAACAAGGCAGACTGGGCTCCACAAAGCTGGGCTTTCCCAGTTTACAGCCCTGGATCTGGCCACATCCTTTATCTAGCCTGTGGGAACTCCCTGAGCCAGGGGCTGCTGTGAGCCCCCTGGTTTGCCCCCCTGCCCATGTGTGTGGCCCCTGTTCACAAACCTGGTCATGTGGAGTGATGCTCTAGCAGGTACAGGTTGTGTGGCAGTACATCCTGACTTGACAGCAAGATAGTCTTTACTGAGAGACAGACCTACCCCACTTGGGCCTTCATTTCCCCACCCATGTGGGTATCTAACCCCTCTCTGGAGGTCAGGGTCAGGGCTGTGGGGTGACTGTCAGCCCCTGCTCCTCTCAGGAGCCAGGCCTAGAGGAGCCGTTTGAGCACCCTGGGCCTGCTCACCCACAGCCTGCCACTGCGCTTCTGGGTGAACGTGATTAAGAACCCACAGTTTGTGTTCGACATCCACAAGAACAGCATCACAGATGCCTGTCTGTCAGTGGTAGCACAGACTTTCATGGACTCCTGCTCCACCTCGGAGCATAAGCTGGGCAAAGACTCACCCTCCAACAAGCTGCTCTATGCTAAGGACATCCCCAACTACAAGAGCTGGGTAGAGAGGTAGGTGACAGTAGGGGCTGGGGAGGCTCTGGGGTTACAGTAGGCGGGGAGTGAGGCAGCATGACCCATTCCCATCCACTCTTCTGCTTCCTGGCAGGTACTATGCTGATATCGCCAAGATGCCCGCCATCAGTGACCAAGATATGAGTGCCTACCTGGCTGAGCAATCCCGGCTACACTTGAGCCAGTTCAATAGTATGAGTGCTCTGCATGAGATCTACTCGTACATTGCCAAGTACAAGGATGAGGTCAGCCTCTCTGCATCCCAACAGGTCCTACCCTGCTGGCTCCTGCATCTCAGAGCTGGCCTTTTGCTGTCTTTCTTCTCTGCACTTAGTTACCCAGCTGTTCCTGGGACAGAGAAAGGGAGCAGTGATGCTGAGCTCTCAGTGGATTGGGGTGGGAGAGACAGGTTGTCAGGGACCCCCGACTTGGACTGAGTCCACCAGGGACCTCCTTATCTCTGTCCAGGGAGTGGACCTTTGACTTGTCTCTTGGATCACTCTGGGCTAGAGCTGATTGGTGCATAGAGTCAGACACTACACAGGTGTGAACAAGCTGAGGCCATGGGGCTAAGCCAAGGTGTACCTGGAGATAGGCAGGAGTTGTGCACAGGTCAAGGTATCTTTCAATACAGGCTTTCAATACAGGTTTGGCTGCACCCCTGAGCAAGATGAGTTGTTGGAGGTCTAACTAGAAGCAGTGAGGCTGTGAATTGCCAGCTTGACTGAGTCGGTAAAGTAGGTAGCCTGCCAGCCTGGCTGGAAGTAGGGGCCACAGAGGCAGGTCTAAGGCCATGGAGCTGTGTGGGCTCAGGAGGGTTCTAGGCACCAGGTCCTGTGGAAGGACCTCCAAATGAACTGGGGTCAGAGGAAGGGATATTGAGCCTGGGCTCCCACATAGGCTGAGGCATGGAGAGTCAGATGGCTGGAGGTAGGGGTGTGGTCCTCAAGACGACCTGAGAAACCCAGCAACAGGAGGTGGCAGGTGGCCATGCCATAGCAGCCATGCCACAGCAGAGGACAGGGAGAGGAGCTCTGTTGTGGAGAACATACAGAACCCTGGGATGGGAGGGATTGAGGGGGGCCATGGCCAGGGGCCAGAGTCTGCTGGTTAAGGGGATAGAATAGCTATGATGACCTTGGTGGCTCACCCCAATGTGCTGGTGAACTCTGGCTTAGAACCATGTCCATAGCTGGGAAACTGGTAGAGTCAGGCCTCAACTGTCTATTCCTAAGACTCCTAGCACACTACTGGATACTGCCGTGTCACCTGTAGTGTGCATGAAGGCTTCCTTGAGGGCTTTTGGCCCATACCTGTTAGTGGCCAACCCTGCCCCTAATCCCATCTCACCCTTCTCTGTAGATCCTGGTGGCGCTGGAAAAGGATGAACAGGCTCGGAGGCAACGGCTACGGAGCAAGCTGGAGCAAGTGGTGGACACTATGGCCCTGAGCAGCTGAGCCCTAGCGATGACCACCCAGCAGGAGGCAGAGCAGGAAAGCAGCAGAGGGGGACCCAGGAGACAGCCCTTGGCCACCTGTGTAGAGTGCCAGGTTCAGAGGCTGCAGTTGGGGTCTTGGCCCTTACCTTCCTCTCCCTGCCATGTGGGGCAAGTTTTTATCACTGTGGATGTGACGGTTCCTGCTGAGCCACTTCTGCCTAGGGCTTGCTACCCTGGCATGAAGAGAGCTCAGCATTGCCCGCCCTGCCCAGGGATATTTGCTGCTTGACAAAAGCTGCTGGTGGCCTTCATGGGAGAAAGGTGGCCTCTGAGGGACTGAGATCGAAGGCCAGGCCCTTCAGATGGAGGGGCATCAGGACAAGAGACTAGATGTGTCTGAAGCTCCCAGCTTCCCAGCTGCTACCAGCAAGAAGAGTCTGAGGGTCTTGGCCCAGTTGCCAGCCTGAGGGAAAGGTGAAATGCCCAGGCTGGGCCAAACGAGCCACAGTCTGGGGCTATCTTACTAGCCTGCATTCCAGCACCCTGGGCTAGCCACTACCCTCAGATTCACCGCGTGCTCTGCACGGCCTGGACCGGAGTACCATGTCCCCCTGCCGGGGAGAGGTCCCATTCCCCTCCTATGGAGGGGCTGTAGACTCCACTCCCAAGTGACATGATGCGGCTAAGTGAACCCCTCTCTGTCCTCAGGGCTGTGCCTCTGTGAGCCTCTGGGCCTGGGGCTCTGGTCAGAGCGCATGTTCACATTATTTATTCCCCACCTCCTGCTCCTGGAGCAACCTACCATGGAGCTTTAGAGGGCAACAGGTTACTGTGCCCACCGTCCTCTGTCTTCCCTGCCCCTAACCCCCCCGCCCTACGGCTTCCAATCTGGCATCTCAGCAGTGTCCTGGCCCCTCCAGAGCAGTGGAACCTCTGGGGACTGCTTTTAAGGGAACAAGAAATCCTGCTGCATTGCCTGGAAGGCGGGGCAAGGCCCCTTTGCCACCCCACTGACCTCGAGCAGTGACCTAAGAGATAGGAGGTCAGCTGCATCCACCCTTGCCCTCAGTGAGCAACAGAACACATTTTTAATGGACTTTGTACATATATATGTACGTGTGTGTATGTATATATATATGTATATATATATATATATATGTATGTATGTGTGGCCCCAACCCCAGTGGGGTGCTGTACAGTTACTCAAGGGAGGAGACAAGGGAAGGCAATTCAGGAGAAACCCAGGTGGCAGAGAACAAAGCCAAGGGTCCTGGAGCCATGACCCAGCTGCAGCCTCTGCTTCCCATGGACCAGTGAAGCTACTGCCGGAGCTTCAAGGTACCCTGAGCTCCTGGGTACTCCGAGTTCCTGGGTGCAGAGGCTGTGGATCTGCATGACTGTGCTAGCGTTTAGTCTGAGTTGATCTTTTCAAACTGCAAGTGTTGAATATAGAGGTGGTTAGATCCTTTTTTATGTTTTTTTAAAAAAATTACTCATTTGGGAAAAAAATGAGCGGCCCATCCCCTTTTCAAGTTCACTTTTTCGATGGTACTAAAGATTCTAACGGATTTTAAGGGACAGCTAACTGTGGCCAGGCCCAGCCTCGGCTCTGGGGGCAGCATACCCCCATGCCCACAGACTGCCAGCCTTGAGGTCCCTCCCCTCCAAGCAGCAGGAGTCAGATGAGACAAGGTGGAAGTCAGATTAGAGCTGCACCTTTAAGTCACTGTGGGGCTGGTGTATAGACTCAGGGAGCTCCTCCCCTGTGGGTGCCAGGGGAGCCTAGGCACCCTGGGCCTTGAACACTGGCCAGCCCCAACCTCGCCTGTGTGACTCACTCCTTGGCCTGACATGGGTCAAAGCCAAGGCCAGCCAGTCTGAACAGAGCCGTTTCTCAGTAGTCCTTAGTGTTGCCTGGGATTCTTACCCTTGAGTATAAACCTCCCTCCCTTTTGCCTCCAGTCTGTGCCTGGGTGGGAGCCTCAGTTTTCCCCAAAGTCTTCCCTGGATGCTGGCTTCAGATGGAAGCCTCCAGTTCTTCCAGTTCCGCCTGGACCATGCACAGCTTCTCGGCTCGACTGCCTCCACAGTCCAGCCCTACCACTCTACTGGAGGCCCTCAGGCTTCCTCAGAGTAAGCCAGTCTTGCTCTACCCTACCAGGCTGCCTCTCCCATGTGGGTGCCTCAGGTAGATAGATGGTGAGGTGACCTGTAGCAGCCTCCACAGGGCGTCTGTTCGCAAGCACTTTAGCATATCTGTTTACATGCGAGCTGATCTAGCTGTTCTACTCAGTACAGTGGGCAGAGCCAAGTGTCACCTCCCTGCCAGTCCTGATTGGGCTCCGACTAATGCTTGTCCTTGGTCCTTGGTGGTCTCTGTGGCTTCCTGCCAGGGGCTCCACTCCAGCCTCTTCATATGGCCTGGGGTTGGAGCCCACTTGGGAACTGGGTGGTAAGATACTCTGGGCCACCTCTGCTGTCCTTTGCCCAGGGAGTTGGCCAAGCAGCATTCTAGCCAGCCTGGCTCGTGTAACACTTGGTACTGCTGTCCTGCTGTAGGCCCTGTCCCTGAAGCCCTTTTCACCTGCCTTTTATTTCCCTTCCTTGCACCCAGACTCAGGAGTGCCTGGGACATTTCACGCTGGGCCTGGATGCCTGGCCTTCATAGGCCTCAGGCTTACCCCTACACTTGCTAGTCACCCAGCCCTCTTATGATGGGTGGGCAGGGATGAGGGCCCTGGTGTGCACCTAAGAGGTACAGCATTGTGTCCCAGGCACGGGCCAGCAGCCTCTGTTGGCAGAGGGGCCCGGCTGCCACCCCAACTCCGATTTCCCCAGTTTGGATCTGGTGGCTCACATCGGTGCTACACATGCTAGAGTAGATATATTTAGAGAGAGATATTTTTAAGATGAAGCTCACAATTAGCTGTCCTTTAATGCCGCAGAACACCCCCCCTCAAATAGAAGTGGTCACTTGGTCTGAGCTGACCAGGCCTCAGCCATCGCTCCTCTGGAAGCGTTAGAGCTGATGCTCAGCCCTCAGATGTGTAAATATACGGCTATTTCCTATTTTACGGTTCTTCAGATTTAGTACTTGTAAATAAACACACATTAAGGAGAGATTAAACATTTTTGCTAAAGCTCTTGGCTCCAGGTCTTTCTTGGGGGGGCGGGGAGTGTTGGGCAATAGGCAGACAGCCACAAGAAATAGGTCATCCATCCTTCAAACAGCACCTCAGGGCTGACAGCAGGCACCTAGGACCCTTGCCTTTGCAACAGGCCTTGGTGTGAATACACAGCTTTACCTGTCTCAACAGACTGAAAAGACTATTATGGTCCCCTCCTCTGAACTCAGGAGCTAGGGACAGTAGAAACAGTGGAAGCCTGGGCTACAGGGTTCTATGTCCACTGTCCCTGGGAACACCCATCATCTACAAAGTAGGAACCCTGAGGCCTTGTTACTTAAAACATTCTGTCCCTGGGGCCGGGGCAGCCCAGCAGCTCATGCATGGCTCCCGGGGGTTATGACTGAGATTTCACATTGCCCACAAAAGGGGTTGGCCAGGACTTGCCTTGCATAGAGGAGTGTGGGAACAGCAGACTAGCTTAGCATCATAGGTGAAGGGTTCATGCATCCCTGCATGACTTGGATCCAACCTCCAGTCTAGCCCCCTTCACCCCAGTATAGTGTGGAGTTGGGTACGGTGACACTGGAGGAGGTAGTGTGGCTGGCCATGGAGATACCTGGCCTCTCAGGTCAACTCAATACCTTTGTGTTGTTTAGTCACTAAGCACAGCTTGTGAGATGGGATTGCCCCCTGGAGACAGCCTGGTGAGCAGAAGCCCCCAAATCACACTGGATCCTGAGGACTTTGCAATGCCCTGCCTGCCTCCTTCCAGTCCCATTCATTCCTAGGTTCTGACAGTGGTCCATAAATCACAATCAGTTCTCTGGCCAGTCCTGACAGCTGGGGCTGCCTATAGGCAGCAGGCTGTTACCAAAAAAAACAAAAAAACAAAAACAAAAAAAAAACGTAATCATGAAATTGTATAGGAAACAGACTTAGCAAATGTGGTCCTATTTGGAGTATGATATGACCCACTGCCATCATTCTAGCTCTTCTCTCAACCCTCATTAGGCTGCCATGGCTCTGGCCTTGCCACCTAGGACTGAGGCAGCCTCTCCAAGCAGCAATCAGCGACCCTGCACGGGGTGATCAAGCATGATTAGGGCAAACAGTGTCTGATTGCTGCACACAGCTCACAGGAGTCAACCTATCAGTGCAGGACTGGTGGCTCTGAGCAGGGCAACCACCAACCACCAGGTCTAGGCTGCGGAGGGCTGAGGCCAATCCCCAACTCTGGATTGAGAGGATGTTTTACCCCCACTTTCTTCTCTCCTGGGTCCCAGAATAGCCATGACTTTAGACAAAGCACAGTGAAATGGGATGAAAACCAGACCAAAGGAGTAAGGAAGGTGTCTCTTGCACATGGATAAAGCCTAATCAAGGCTCAGAGAGCAGTTAGGGAAGCATTTCTAGAGGCAGGATTGAAGACCAGGAAAGAGCCTGCATGAGGCAGAAACCAGGACTGACTGCCCGCAGGAGAATGGCACTGCCCAGCCCTTGGGAAACAGGAGGCCGACTGGGTTGCTCTTTGGTGCCTGTGGACTGGTCATCAGAGGCTGGTAGGAAGCACCTGCAGTTGCTATAGGGCATGGCCCAGCTGTGTCCCTTCCTGGACTCCTATCCACGCTGCTGGAGGTGTTGCCCAGCAAATAGCTCATGGGCTTTCTAAGCTCTGATTATCCATGAGGTGATGGGCCACACCCTGGTTGGGCACCTAGGCCTCCTGGAGTGAGGTTCCCAGAGACTAGAGCCTCTCCCACCTGTGCTGGCTCCAAGCCAACAGCACAGGGCAGACCTGGTCATGACTCAGGGATACCCGGGGGAAGGGGTGGTTGTTTCTTCAGTGTGGCCCAGGCTGGAACAGATCAGCCATGGTTGTCTTGTTTCAGAAGAGGGCTAGGACAAAGGTGAAATCACTTGCCCAAAAGGAACCAGGGTACCTGGATGGGGCCTGGATTTACTCTCAGGCTTTCCTGACTCCTGTAGCCTTTGCCTGGGGTGGGGTTTGTTCTGTAAGGATAGTACCCAGGAAGCCCAAACACCTGGAAAGAGGAAGGGCAGGTTCCTCTGTAGAACAGGTACTTGTAGCTGCTTCCTGTTCCTGGGATACTTGCTCAGTGTCCCCAGCAAGGGTCTGCTGGGAACCAGGCTTTCTGGCCACTGTGGCTGAATACAGCTTATAAACCAGCCCAAAGCATACCCAGGCACGTATCCCTTCTAGGTGCCTCTGTATGTCATAGAGGATGGAAACAGTCTAAATGACATCAGTGAGGGATGGGAGAGGGAGAGGGAGAGGGAGAGGGAGGGAGAGAGAGAGAGAGAGAGAGAGAGAGAGAGAGAGAGAGAGAAATTGACTTATACAATGATCCACGTGGGAACTACATTGGCCACCCTTAAGGCATCACGTGTGTTTATTTGAGCCAATCAATCTGGCAACATCAAGGATAAGGTGTTCTGATTGACTGGACCCAGGCACATGCCCAGAAGAGTGGTCAGGACACTTGAGCCTGGGTTTTACCAATCATTGTGTATATCACACAGAACATCCCAAACCATCTTATTCAACTATACACCCACTTCCCAGATGGCACCCTCCCATAGCCTCCCTCCCCCAACTAGAGCCCTTATACTCTGTTATCTCTGCTACTGTCCACTGTGTTGTTGGCACCCCCAGGTGTTTCCCACTACTTGTCCATCTGGTGACGCTACTCAGCCTATCTAGAGGTCTTTGTTTTAGGACGGTCAGCTGTTCCTCATCTAGCAGCAATCGGTTGTCAATATTCCTTTAGATAAGATTGGGGTCTGCTGTTCATTTTCCCAGTTCTATGCTGGGTTACTATCTGGGAGTCCCTTGGGCCACCCTGGGCAACAACTCAAATGAAGGTATCTCCTATCTGGCATTGTTGCTTGTTATGTAGCCTTTAGCTATACTTAGGGTCTCTTAAAAAATTATATTGGCCCCTTTAATTCTTTGGTTATACTTTCCTTTTGGGTGTTTAAGGCCAGTTGGCACAGATGAACCAATTTATTTTTACTCTTTAGGCCATTTGAGGATCTGTTCCTCAGGGGTCAAATGGGCTTGGGAGGAGCCCCTGGCAGAACTTTTACCAGTTCTGCCTATGTGAAGATAAGTCAAAGGTCCTGCTCGACCATGGCTGGCTTCACTTGGAAGCATGGAGGAAATGATTTTGGGTGTTTAAGGCCAGTTGGCACAGATGAACCAATTTATTTTTACTCTTTAGGCCATTTGAGGATCTGTTCCTCAGGGGTCAAATGGGCTTGGGAGGAGCCCCTGGCAGAACTTTTACCAGTTCTGCCTATGTGAAGATAAGTCAAAGGTCCTGCTCGACCATGGCTGGCTTCACTTGGAAGCATGGAGGAAATGATATCTCTGTGTTGACCCTCCTTTGTAGACTGGACACTGGTTCAAGTCCATCTCGTGGGGTCTCCTCAGCCTCCTTCAATACCCATCTTTCATTAATAACTTTAAATATATGCTCATAGTTCCCTGGAACTAGTCGACCTAGAAGGGCAAGGAGCAAAAACTGTCCTATATGTCTCTCTGGCCAAATTAGTATAGGCATCAAAGTATGTCTGTTAAACATCCGAGGAGGTTAGTTCCACCAGTCTGGTACTTTTAATTACTGTGTGTCATGTAGATAAATCTTGGGCAAAGACCAATTGTTCTCAGATAAACCTTACCTAGATATATATTTCTTGATCTGGTATGTATAATTTGTCAGTAGGTTGTTGGAATAATATGGTTCCTTCTGGTTTTTAAAACTAGCTAGGTATTATTTATCTCTAGCATTGTCTAACCCCCACATCATGGTTTCCCCAATTTAGGTGCCCCAATTTCCCCCCTTTCTCCCTTAGTAATACCCTTCTCCTATGGTCCTACCTCTCTTGAGCTCCTTCTTTCCCTTTATCCCCTAGGTTCCTTGTATACCGTTCCCTCCCCACCTCCCTTAAACTAACCCAATTTTTATCCATCTCTCCCTTAGTAACACCTGTTTCCTACTGTTCTCTTTCAGGTCCTTTCTTTTCCTTTTCCTCCCTGTTTCCTTTCCATTATCCTGGTTCCTGTAGTTACGTCTGGATACATACTCACTTATCAGGATTTGGTTCTAGGATCCACATATGAGGGAGAACATATGCCGAATTTTTTTTCTGAGTCTATGTTACTTCATTTAGAATAACAGTTTCTAGTTCCATCCATTTACCTGCAAATTTCATGATTTCATCTTTCTTTACTGCTGAGTAAAACTCCATCATATAAATGAACCACATTTTCATTATCCACTCATCAACTGAGGGACACTTAGGTTGCTTCCATCTCTTAGCTATTGTGACAAGAGCAGCAACAAACATGGATGTACAAATGTCTCTGAAATAGGAGAATTCTTTGGGTATATGCCAAGGAGTGGTATAACTGGGTCAAATGGTAGGTTCAATTGTAGTTTTTTAAGAGTTCTCCACACTGCTTTCCAAAGGGGTTGAACAAGTTTGCAGCCCCACAAGCAGTGGATAAGTGTTCCCCTTTCCCCACATCCTCTCCAACATTTGGTATCATTTGTTCTCTTGATCTTAGCCAGTCTGACTGGGGTAAGATGAAATCTTAAAGTGGGTTTAATGTGCATTTCTCTGATTATTAGTGATGTTGAACATTGTTTAAGGTGTTTCATAGCCATCTTTACTTCTTCTTTTGTGAACTCTCTGTTCAGCTCCTTAGCTCATCTTTTAATTGGGTTACTTCCTGTCTTGATTCTCTGTTTTTTGAGTTTGTTATATATTCTGGAACATCCAGAAAATCTATTCTTTTACACTGATTACATGTTGAAGAAACATTGGCTATATTGGGCTAAGACCAAGTATTTAAGTTAACTCACCTGTTTCTTTTTCCTTTTTAAAATATGGCAGAATGGGCTGAAGAGATGGATCAACAGTTAAGAGCACCAATTGCTTTTGCAGAGGACCCGGGTTCAGTTCCCAGCACCCACATGAGGGCT